GAAAGAATAAAAGAATCAAAAAGAAGATGGTGGTAGAGATAAGTTAGGTGCTCAGGGTGGAGGCAGGAGAGTTGCTGGTGAGCCAGGAGTTGGCAGCAGACACCTCTCGCCACAAATTCCCTTGGGCGTTTGCTTGAATTCTCTTAGGCTTTGCAGATGGCTTTTGTTTCTTGGGAATGCCCTTGTGTGCTGTTCTCTGGTTTGGAGTAGCCCTCCAAGTGAGAAGGTGTGCTGACCGCCAGCCTAGCGTATGCCACAGCCTGCCCAGCCTTGCCATGACAGGGCACAGCTTGCTCCATGCTGTCGGAGAACCTCATCCGTATCCTATGCAGGCATCTAGGCCTTCGCTTGAAGGGTCAGAACAGGCTCAGGCCGCGGCCACTGCGTTCACAGGTGAAATCGCAGGAAGACGAAGGGGTTGTTACGGTTTGATATGACACATCCTGACATGCTCATGGTTTTATTTTTATTTTTATTTTTTTAACAGTAGGCTCCTCAGCACGTGACACTGTTTTGAGAATTGAGACCCTTTAGGAGGCAGCGCCTGATTGGTGGAAGGTGGTTACTAAGGGGAGGGACTTTGGAGCTCATCCCAGTTACTAGGGGGAGGGACTTTAGAACTTGTCCCCGCCCCTGATCCCAGTCATGGTCTCCGCTTCCTGGTTGCTGCTACAATGCTCCCACCGCCCTGAACTCCTCGTTCCTTCTCCACGATGACGGAGTAAATCTCTTTTGAGTTCGAGAGCTAAACATAAACCTTTGCTTCCCTAAGTTGTTTCCCTTAGGTGTGTTGGTAACAGTGAGGCTAAAGTAACTAAGACAGTGGCGTACAGAGGTAGGCTCTACCACTCACGGTGCTAACCCGCACAGTATCTGACCTCTCCAAGACTCAGTTTCTCCACCTATGCTTGCCATCGCGAGATTCTTTAAATTCACCGGTGTTAAATCGTAAGGGGTTGCTGGGATAAATTGTATAAACATTTAACTTTCAGTAAATAATAAATGCTAATCATTCCTATTATCCATGTCTCAAATACACCATCATGATTCATCTGTATTAATTCCTGTATAATTTGCCTTCTCAGTGTGAAGGCATTTGAATAAGCTCTAGATTACTGGGCAAGCTTTCTGCTCAGATTTCTTTGCAGGACCCTTGTCCAAAGGCACAACTAGCCATCAGAGAAGCATCTGGAAATGGAAGTTTTTAAGAACAGATGGAGACAATGACACCTTGTGGAGGTGAAAAACGGAATAGACAGCGGGGGAGGAATGGACTGATCAGTCACTCCCTGGAGAAGGCCATCTGTGTTTTTTCAGAGACAAGTTCCGATAGCCCAGGAGAGCCTCTGGTTCTATACCCTTATAAGTGAATAAAGGTAGAAGGATATGGTGTGTGTGTGTGTATGTGTGTGAGTGTGCATGTGTGAGAGTGGGCATGCATGTGTGTGAGTGTGTTTGAGTATGAGAGTATGTGTGTGAGAAAGAGCGTGTGTGTGTGTGTGTGTGTGTGTGTGTGAGCATACGTGTGTGTGTGTGTGTGGTGTGTGTGTGTATGTATGTGTGTGTGTGTGTGTATGTGTGTGTGTGTGTGTGTGTGTGTCTGAAGCCTCTGTTGACAGTACACACTCAGCTTCCATAAGGAGACAATGGAGAAGTCGGGCAGAACAGGTGGTCATTGTTCCCATCTTCCTCTGCTGGTCAGCGAGCAATTTCATGATCTGCCCTTCAGCAGGGCAGGCTTTGAGGGTAAGAGTGGCAACCCACAGAGAGATTCACTGTCTCTTGTCAGCTGTCATGTAGACACTTTACACCCGTTATCTCTGACCCTGACACTTCGCTGTGGACTCCCTCCACAGTGCCTCACTCTTAGCTTGGAGCCATAATGATGAACAGGCCCAGAGAAGTTAGATGATGCTCCCGTGGACGGAGGTCGCAAGTGGCAGAGTTGGAGGCCAAACACTTGTAATCTGAATCCAATATGTGTGCCATTCCCTAGAACTATTCCTAAAACAAAGCTCAACCCAAAGCAGCCATTTGAAGTTTTTTTTCCCATCTCCCTGTGACTAATACCTAATTCTTTATTAGCTTAAGATGGTAGCAGTCAGCATCAGGGTGGGATGCTCGAAGAGGGCAGAGTCCGCAGAGCCTGGAATGGCCTGTTTATAGCAGACGGAGTAGCAGCAAACTGTGGGCTGGAGGACTCTTGCTATTGCTGGTGATTCTCCCACAATGCTCTCTGACAGTGGTGTCCAGGCTTTCTATCTATAGACTCCATTGACTTTGTTCTATTTAGTCTTCTAACATTTTTAAAAATGATTTATTTACTTATTATGTGTACAGTGTTCTGTCTGCATGTAGCCTGCACACCAGAAGAGGGCACTAGACCTCATTATAGATGGTTGTGAACCACCATGTGGTTGCTGGGAATTGAACTCAGGACCTCTGGAAGAACAGCCAGTGCTCTTAACCTCTGAGCCATCTCTCCAGCCCCCTCATTTAGTTTTCTCTCTTCTGGCTCCACTTCCTTTCTTTTCCTGTATGCATCGATGGTTGGCTTTTTGGTTATTGCTGTTCCAATAGCTAGGGTTTATACATTTAAATCCTGTTCATTTCACAAATTTAGACCTTTGACCCCAGCCAAGAAAAGCTGAAACCAGCCTGCTCGAGTCACCTTCCACCATGGCTGTCCCTCCTCCCTCCAGTTATTTTTACGGCATCGCTGTGTGTGACATGTGAGGTGTGACATGACAGTCTGTAGCTGTCCATCATAACCCTTCAGTGAGTAGGTCCGTTCTCCATCTGCCTCGCTTCTCTTTCCATTGCCTCGGCAGGATTTCCTAGAGAAACAATTTAGGCTTCAGAAGTTCACAGCTGGCTCCACTGTGGGACTTTGGTGAGCTAGAACCCCACCAAAGAGCATGGAGGAGCAGAGCTGTTTATGTCACGGGGGGTGGGGGTGGGGTGTCAGGAAGCAGACTAAGGATGAGCCAATGCCAGCAGGCCTCCAGTTCCTCCTGCTTGTGTCCCGCCTGTGCTCCCAGGCTGTGGGGGTGCCACCACACTCTGTCATCGCAGGAGAATGCCTTCCTCCTCAGCTGCAGCCTGACATGCTGTTACCTCTGGAAACCGCTTGATGATGCAGCAACACATGCTCTACCTAGTCCCTAGGCCTGACTCCAGCCAGTCAGGTTGCCTGTGGAGATTAGCATCACACCACTGAGGGGCCTTTTCAGACCACTTGTCTCCTCATTACTCGGCTAGTTCAAGGTTGACCTCCACCTATGACTGTCACTGAAAGGAAGGCTTGGGAGTTCAGTCCCTGAGCTCTTGCAGTTTTGAAATGTTGCTCCTGGTAAGAGTGGATGTCAAGTTCTCTGGTCCATACATTTTGTTTTCTGTTTTTTGTTGTTGTTTTTGAGGATTTCATTAGCATTTTCTTGTGGCATCATTTTTAAATACACACATACATATATGTGTATACATATATATTAATTTATGTGTATGTATGTGAGCCTGTGTGAGTTTGTATGAACCAAGTGAATGCAGGAGCCTGCAGAGACCAGAAGAGAGCATTACATCCCCTGGTACTGGTGTTATAGCTGGCTGTTAGTCACCATGTGAACCAAAGTCCTCTGCCAGAGTATCAAGTTTTCTTAACCACCTAGGCATCTCCCTAGCTCCAGTATCTTTAATATTGCTGAGGTAGTTTGAGGCATGGAGTTTTTTTTTTTTTTTTTTTTTTTCCAATTTAAAATAAATGGATTCTTTGTCTGGCTGCTCACAGCACTGACTGTCTCTGGATATCTAGGCTATATCTTGATGTTGTTTATCATATAAGTTTTATTCATGATATAGTAGGTCCTTTTCATCCATAAGTACTAGAATTACAGGTGGTTGTGATTCTCTGTGAGGGTATTGGGAACTGAACCTGAGTCCTACGAAAGAACATTGCTCTTAATCCCTGAGCCATCTCTCCAGCCCTGAGTTGATTTTTATTCTTGCACTGGAGGAGTGACTTAAATATTTTGGATATTTACTCAATATCGGATATTTTGGAAGTATGTTCTTACCCTTCTGGATCCTGCTTTTCACACTTTATATTATTTGATCCACACAAATTTTTAATTTTGATGTCCTCTATCTCACCGTGTATTTATTTCCTGTAGTGGCTGTTCTTCTGGTGTCCTGTTATAGGCAAATACTTACTAAATCCAGTTTAGGAAAATAGCACCTTCCGTTCCTTCCACAGTGAAGATTAAAAAAGGAAAATGCTTTAACGCTTTTGTGTGCTTGGTGATGGTGTTAACATTTCTCTGCTCTTTGTCAATAATTAATTTATTTTCTGGCCAATGTTCTCATCTGCTCTTTGCTATTAGCGCTCCCTTTTGTTACATGTGGGCTTTTATATAAATCTGTGCTGCCTGGTTTCTTTTCTTTTTCTTTTTTTAGGTCACATTTGAATGAAGCAAGTTCTTTATGAATATCCTTTTCCCACGACAAGCTTTGCTTCACGATGTAGGCTTACACGGACCCCCGGGTGAGGCAGTGCTCTTAGCCTGATCTCCAGAGACGTCATCCACACAGGGTTATTTATAGTCGGAAATCTTTCTGTCTTCCACTTGTATCAGTAACAGACTGCTTCCTGCAAATTCGGGGTCTGGCTTCATTGAAGTGCTTTCCTCTGCAACATTCTCCCCTCACAGATTGCTGATGGCCTCCGAACGAGAGAGGGTATTTGACCCCTGGGGTGCACCATCTTGTTTGAACAACTGTGCTCTGGCAGTCTGATCCAATGTGTATCCACGATGCCCTTCTGAGCTCCTTCCCAGGGTTTCATAGCTCTTCTGTCATATTGAGGGTGGAACTTGGCTGTTTCTCATGACTTTTTTAAACTTTATTTTTATTATTAATCTTACTTTAAGATTTATTTTTATTATTTTAAATTATGTGCATGTGTCTGTGTACATGAGTGCAGGAGTCCTTGGAGGCCAGAGGCATCTGACTCCCAGGAGCCGGAGTTACAGACGGTTGTGAGCTACCTGATGTGGGTGCTGGGAACTGAACTTGGGTCCTCTGCAAAAGCAGTATGCATGTTGAACCACTGAGCCATCTTTCCAGTCCTGCCATTATCTTTGACATTAGAGTGATTTCCTAGAGAAGGTGAAACAGGTCCATATATCCGGGAGGCCCAGATAATTTTGTCCACTTCCATTTTCTGCTTTCCTTTCTGCTCAGTTTGATTCTCCTGGTTCCTAAGACACCGAGTGAAAACCGAGAGAACAAGAAGCATGGGGGTTCCAGAGCAGAGCAGGGGGACATCTGCCTCTGCCCCCCCACCCTGTCACAGACCATCACCTTCCTTCTGCACCTTAACTTTCTTCCCCCTTTCCTCTCCTTTCTTGCATCTCTCCATTCCCCTCCCTCCTCCTCCTTCCCTCCTTTTTTCCTTCCTTTTTTTTCTGTCTTGGGATAGCACCTCACCTATCCTAGCCTGTACTCAACACTGAAGATCTATCACCAAGGATGTCCTTGAACTCTCGGCTTCTCTCCACCCCCAGAGCTGGGATTACTGGTGTGCACAATCACACCTAGTCTATGTGGTGATGGAGAGCAACCCCAGAGCTTCCTGCATGCTAGGCAAGCCTGCTACCTGAGCTCTATCCCCAACCCTACCTTATTTACTTAATTATGCAACGGTCATAATAATTACAGTCAACATTTTCTCTGGTGTCCACTTCGCGCAGATAGGTGTTCTAAGAGCTTTGCATATATCAACTGATTGAGTTCACCAGTGTCATCCCATTTCACAGATGAGGAAATAGGCAGCAAGTGGTTAAATAACAGCAACGTTCATTCTGGAGCCCGTGCCTGTACTCTGCCACAGTCCACGTGGCCATCTCTCGCTACTTCATGGAGCTGTTGGAAAGATCACAGTGTGCACTAAGCTCTAAGAACAGTGCATGTGCTGCTAAGTCAGGCATTTCCCTCCCTCCTCCCTCCCTCCCTCCCCCTCCCTCCCA